GGATTATTATCTTTTTTTTTTTAAACATCAGTGAAAAATGAATGTTCAAAAATGAATCTGTAACAAAGAGATGGTGGTTCTCAATTCTGGCAAATCCTCCGAATCATGGAGAAGGAGCTTTTGTAAAAGGGCTGTGTGGCCCTGGGAAAGTCACGTCGGCTCTCAGGCATGGTTTCCTCATCTGTGCAAATAAGATGATGATGCCCGGTCACTGGGTCACACACAAAAGAATAGATGTAGACATGCTTGGCACCTCGTGGGGGAAAAAAAAAATAGTTGCCGTCAAGTGGACTTCAACTCATGGTGACCCCATGTGTGTCAGCGTAGAGCTGTGCTCCATAGGGTTTTCAATGGCTGAGTTTTCAGAAGTAGATTTCCAGGTCTTTCTTCTGAGGTACCTCTGGGTGGATTCAAACCTCCAACCTTTCTATTAGCAGCTGAGCTCATGAACTGTTTGCACCACCCAGGAACTCCTGGCCCCTTGTAAGTGTTTAATAATTGTTATTTCCTGCAATAAGTGTTACCGAGTAAATGCTGATTTAACAATAAATACATCTATTGAGCACTGCCTTGTGTTCAGTGCTAAAAAGACTTTGCGTTTAATCTCTCCAAAATCCTGGGTGGTAGGGACTAATTTTACAGAAGAGTAAACTGAGGCTCAGGGAGTGTTAAGTGACTTGTCCGAAGTTATACAGTAAGTGTTAGGGCTTGGATTTGAACCCACGTACACTGAATTTAGACACCACACTTTTAACTACCATGCCATCCTACCCTCCAGGGAATGAGACTGAATAGACATTTCACGTGGCAAAGACGGAATTTGATGACTTGCCTTTTACTGTCTTTAATTCCCACCCCAACTTCCTCTCGAAAAATGGACAGTGTTTGTGTGAGCTTCCCATTCTGTCAAGGACACCGCACTCGAAAACCTTCATTGATTTCTTTTCCCGTGTGGTTGCAGCTTTGCTTGTTTCTCATAAACCCTCAAAAGCAAGCCTCATGAGGTTACCAAAGCAACTGGCATTGTGATGTTCCTAAAGCTCTGTAGTACCTGATTTCTCCCCAGTTGGTCAGAAGGGGCTATGCCCTCCAAGCCAAGGCATCGGTGAGAGGAATAAACACTCTACCAGGGCTGTGCCTCCACTGACTTTTTCCCTTCGTTATTCCTTGTTTATTTGCACTGCTTTTAAAAAGCATTTGGAAGAGAATTTCTCATCATAGATAAGCACCAGAATATCTAGGTGAGAAGGAGATTCCCGCTCTAAAGGAGCCCCCTCCATCCCCAGCGTTGTCCTTCATGGCACCTACTCTCTCTGATGATGCAGCCCGTGTTTATTGTTTGCTCTTCTCCCCCATCTCCACGAGACAGAGGCCTTTCCTGACTTGTTCACTGCTGGGCCCTCAGCACTCAGAGACTGCCACATAGAAACCCTCAGTAAATAGCTGCTCAGTGAATGAAACTGGCTGGCTGGCCTCTAAGTCCAGCACTTTCCACTGTACTGGTGCGAGGAGCTTAGGCCAACTGTGAGTTAGCCAGCTACAGTTAGAGGGTACGCTATCCTCCAGAAGACCGCCTTCATTTATGACACCATCTGCAAGTTCGAGGGGTTCACAAAACCACCCTCAGGTCCACTAATTTGCTAAAAGGATTCACAGAACTCACTGAAAACTGTTACACTCATGGTTAAACTTGATTACAGGGCAAGGATACAGATTAAAATCTGCCAAGGGAAACATCGTAGGGTGGAGACGAGGAGACGTACCAAACACAAAGCTTCCCTTGTTCTCCCCCTGTGGAGACAGGGTGTGTTATTCTCTCAGTATCCATGTGGACACATGCATGGAGTACTACCAGCCAGGGAAGCTCACCCAATGTGATGGTTAAGGTTATATGTCAGCTTGGCTGGGCCATGATTTTCAGTGGTTTAGCAGATATGTAATCATCCTCCATTTTGTGATCTGATGTAGAATAGCCAATCAGTTGAAAGCCAATCGGTTTCCTTGGGGGTGTGGCCTGCATCCAATATATATGAATGTTCTGGCAAAGCTTTCTGTGGATCCTGCACCCAACTCATCATCCTCTGACAGTTCTTTGGACGTGAGCCAGCAGCCTGCCACCTGACCTGCAGATCTTGGAATTTGCCAGCTCCTATAACCCTGTGAGCAAGCAGCCTTCCACCTGACCTGCTGATGTTGGGTTCATCAGCCCCTGAAACTGTATGAGTCAGGAGAAGCCTCCAGCCTGATGTCTGACCCAAGAATTTGGGACTTACCAGCCTCTACAACTTCATGAGCCATTTCCTCTCTCTCTGTCTCCCTCTCTCTATATATATATGCACCACTGGTTTTGCTCCTTTGGAGAAGTCAGCCTAAGACACCTGTGCCTCAGTGTTCAGAGTTTTTGTTGGGGTTCCATTATGTAGGCTTGATTGATTGACCATTTGGTTGATCTCAGTCTCTGGGTCAACTGATACCACATGACCCAAAGCTCCCACCCTAAGCCACATTGTTGGTCTTTCTGGCATGGCCAGTCCCCACTCTAAGACTATACATGTGTAGCCAGCCTCTACCCTAAATCACATTATTAGACTATCCGCTGTGACCCAAGGTCCCAGGCAAACAAAGACACTCCTATCGGGTATAGCATTCCTATGACCTTGAGATCACCTCCCAGAAGCCAAGGGCAAAGGCCAGACTTTCTCTATGGACAAGGCCAATTCTTTACTACACAACTGGTATTGGCCATGCTGACAGCCAGTGGCCCATGAGAAGTTTGTGAGGAGCCCCTCATGTCTGCAGACTGACCCACAAATGCAGGGCTTTCTGGGTTTCTCATGGGTGAGTGCAGGAAATTCCATAGATTTTCATTTTTACTTCAGCAAAAGGCTACCTTCTAGCAATGTCATGTGTGACAAACATTTGGGAATGATAAACTAATAGTACCCATAACTCATGTTTATTGATGATGTAAATTCACTCTCCTACCCTTAAGTCTGACTTAGGGATGTGACACAGCTCCTCTCAGGCAAATGTCTGAACAGAGCAAAGGATTCTCACTGTTGTCAATAAGCCACGGTGTTATCATTCACCATGAGTGTTGCCTTGACTTGGTTCTGATTTTCAATTACCGCTATTATTGTATCAATCAATTTATGTGTACACTCACTCTTCATGTTTATTTTTGTTGATTGCTCTGTTCTTGTGCAGTTCCCATTTTGATTGTGATTTTGTTCCTCTCCAATGCTTTATTGTCTCAAAATTCGTTTTCCACTAAAAAGCAGTGACAGGATCATCATCTCTACTTAAGTGAGTCACAGTCCTAAATGTATGAGAAAGAATACTTACACTTTACCGTGTGACCTCATGTAATCCTTGAACTACTGTGCTCTTTTGTTTTGTGACAAGACATATGCATTACTAAAAATCATTGCACTAGGCAAAAGCTTGCAATAAAAATCACAGGGCTTATGGGGGAAATGGAGTTAGAGGCCCAACACTCCAAATGTCATCAGTGACACATAAAAAGGAAATAAGGAAAGAAGAAGAGATGTTTCTCAGTCCTGCGTCATCTTCGTGATCATTGGTATGTTTGATTCCATTGCTGTGGCTATTGTGTCTGCTGTTACTTCTCATTTTGAGTCAGGTCGCATCAACAAAAGAAGGTCCCAAAGCCTTTGCTTCATCCACCTCATTATAGTCAATTGTACAGTCATGTGCCACATAATGTCCATTCAGGCAATGTCTGACCGCATATAAGTCTGTGGTCCCATAAGGTTTTAATAGAGTTCAGAAATCGCGATCAGAGAACAGGATGTAGTGGACGTAACCAAATGTAGCAAATACAGCAGCTTCCCGCACGTAACACATGTATCTCGTGTCTCTTGTACACAAAGCAGTTGTGCTGCCAGGCATATAATGGAATAGTATATGTATAACCTGTATTACATATGTCTTGATAGTCATAATAAATGCCTGTGTTACTGGCTTTTGTACGTACTGTACTGTACTTTCTGTCATTATTTTAATGTGAATTTTCCCTACTTAGAAATAAAAAGTTTACCATATAACAGTGTATGCTTCAACTCATAGGCAGAAGCATCCAATCTCATGTATCAACTTTCTCTTGAGAGTTGTAGCATTATCTCTCCGTTTGATTTTCTTTTGAAAATATTACCATGAAGTGCATCATGGCTCCCAAACGGGGCAAAACCAGTGCTAGTGATAGCAGCAGTATCCCATATGGCTTTGCTAAGCATATAATACGGTGTTTACACAACATCCAAATCACATAACATCCTATTTCACAGAACATATCATGGACGTTAAGCAACGCATGACTGTACTTTGAGAAGGCAGCTCTTCTCCAGTTGTATTTTGAGTGCCTTCCAACCTGGGGGACTCATCTTCCAGTACTAAATTGGAAAATATTCTGTTGTGATCCACAGGGTTTTTTTTCATTGGCTAATTTTCAGAAGTAGATCTTCAGGCCTTTCTTTCTAGTCTGTGTTCGTCTGGAAGCATCGCTGAATGCTGTCCACCATGGGTGACCCTGCTGATATTTGTAATACCAGTGGCATAGCTTCCAGCATCATAGCAACCCTAGTGTGAGTGAAGTGGTATCTCATTGTGGTTTTGATTTGTATTTCCCTGATGACTAATGATATTGAGCATCTTTTCATTTGCTTATTGGCCGTTTGTACATCTTCTTTGGAGAAATGTCTATACAAGCCATTTTGCCCATTTTTTAATTGGATTGTTTGCCTTTTTGTTGAGCTGTAGTTCTTTACATATTCTGGGTATTAACTCTCATCAAATATATTGTTCCCAAATATTTTTGTCCCATTCTGTAGGTTGTCTCTTCACTTCGTTTTGACCAAGTCCTTCGATGCACAAAGATTTTTAATTTTGATGAAGTCCAATTTATCTATTTTTTTCTTTGTTTCTCATACTTTTAGTGTCACATGCTTGCTTTTTTAAAATTTCTTTTCTTATTTATTCAGATTGGGCCAAAAGGATTGAGTATCAGCCTGGTTCTGGGAGTCTGCCCTTGTTTCCCAGCATCCACCTGGAGATGTGCGATGGACCCGTGTCCTCCATCCAGATCACCACAGAGCTGCAGACCAATTACATCGGGAAGGGCTGTGACCGGGAGACCTACTCTGAGAAATCCCTTCAGAAATTGTGTGGTAGGTTCGTCCTCGTTGCAGTTTTCCTTTAATTAATTGCTTAAAAAAGATATATACAAATAAAATATGAGGGATGATGTTGGACACTTGAGGAGAGTTTGGTCTCTTCTCCACAGGACCAGCTATACAATTTGTGGGACCAAGTACGAAATGAAAACGCAGGACAACTTGTTCAAAAATTAAGAATTTCAAGATGGTGACAGCAGAGCATTAAACCAAGTAGGAACCCACAGCTAAGCACGAGGTCCTGTGCAACTGCACAAATCACACACCCATGAAGCTGGCCCTGGCTGCCCAGAACTGAGACGAAGAGCTTGGGGTGGGGGTAAAGGTGGGGCAACGTGAAAGATATCCACCTACGTAGGAGAGAGGGGGCTTCCGACAGGAGGAGAGTGGACTGTGAGATGGTGCCACCATAAAGGAAGTGGGCCAGGAGCTAGGACATAAAGAATGGAGGAGTGGTAATGAAGTTGGGTATGGAGGAAACGGCTTTACTGAGCACCTACTATATACATTCTGCCAGACTCTCTACAGGCTTTACTTTATTTAGTCCTCCCATCCTCCTGGGAGATAGGTGCTATTCATCCAGTCTTAGAGAGGGGAAATGACTTGTTCAGGGTCACACAGAAAGTAAGTGACAGCCAGAATGTGAAGGTAGGTCTACCTGACCAAAGGCTCTTTAGCTCAGTATCTACGAAAGTGGGCCAGGCCTTTGGAGCTAGAATGTAAATCTCTGAAGTGAGCTGTGGAATGAGACGATGCTCAGCAAGGTGAGAATGGTCCCATGCGCTGGATAAACCAGGTCATTGACATGCTGATGGGCCTTCTTCATCCCCATCCCTGGTATATTTCATTTCTTTCTTGTTCTTTCCAAGAATATTCAGGAACTCACATTAGACTCTCCACCTTCCTCTCTGGCTGTGCTGTGGGAAGCCTAGGAAAGGGCTTACTCTTACATTTGGGTCTGTATTTGGGGGTAACAGTATCTCCCCAAAGGAGCCCTGGTGCTGCAGTGGTTAAGCGCTTAGCTGCTAACCAAAAAGGTCTGAAGTTTGAATGCACCAGCTACTCTAAGGGACAAAGATATCACAGTCTGGTTCCGAAAAGATTTACAGCCTTGAAAAACCTATGGGTCAGTTCTACTCTGCCCTATAAGGTCACTATGAGTAGGAATTGACTCAATGGCAATTTTTTTTTTTTAAAAATCTCCTCAAAAGGAAGGGGAAGCTTTTAGTCACCAGCCTAGCCTACCATCCCGCCCCCCTCGGCAGGCCCCTCTGCTTCTATTTTTGGGGCAGTTTTCCTCCCTCAGCGTTGCCTTACACCTACACTGTCACCCAGTGTATGTAAGGCTCTTACCCAAAGAACCAAGAGAAAATTCTAGAACTGAATGTGAAATAAACCTTGAGTGGATAGTATCATGTCCCATTGACCATGACACCAGGCTGTCAGGGAGGGCCTGTGGGAACACAGACACCTCCCCCACCCCAGAATGATGCAGGAGATTGGAGGAAACACCATAGCTTCAAAATCCCAAATAGCTCTTGAAAAAATGGATCTAAGGGACCTGTGATATTGAGAAAACTGCCTCCAGTGTTCTCCTTCACTTTGCGTGTGGAGAAGTCATCAAAGATGGTATCTTACTCTGAATGAGTATCCCATTTTGTTCCTCACGTACCTGAATTATAAATCAACTCGACCACCTGCCATCTTGGGTTACAGTCATTTCCCAAACTCCTCCGGGTTAGAAGTTGCTGATGGAATCAGCTTGGTAAAGATCAGACGGGCCCAAGGGCAGGTGCTTGTGATTTGATTTTGAATGTTGCAGGGGAGAGATGAGGAGAAATGGAGGGTGAGAAGAATCTTCTGAGGAAAGAAACTTCAGAGGAAAATTGCATGTGGTGTGTTAACAGATCTCATTGCATCTGGGTGCCAGCCTCACCTTGCAAGAAGGCAGGTTAATTCAGTTGCAAAGCAACTTCCCCCAAGATGTGACCTTATCTGGTGCGAAGAGCAACCCTTTGAATGAGAGAAGTCTGTGTTTCTCTCAGGTGGACTTCGCTTATGGGACACCCTAACAGGCATATTAGGAGCCTGATTCTTGAATTCCACTGAGGGAGAGCTCAGATAAAAGGGCAGGAGCAAATGAGTGAGACCCAGATGTGAATCTGGTGCTCAGATCTACGTCCTTGTGTGGTGGCTCATTAGGAGCCCCAGGCTGTCTCAAACTCCAAGTGAGATGCAGCCTGGATCATTTCCCAGACAGGGTCTGAGCTGTAATCTCTCATTCCTGTGGGCAGGGGCAGATTAACCAATAGGCAGGGTAAGCACGGTGCTTACCTTGCTTACCAGATCATCTGTAGTGAACAATTTCATATTTTTTCACCACATCAAAGATTCTGCTTCTAGGTATGGCTGGCATTTGTCTCTCTCCCAACCCCATAGCACCTTCCTTCACAATCAAAGCTTCTTTTCAAATTTACAATCCCTGACAGGGATGGATTACCCAGTCAGCAAGGTAAGCATAGGCTTACTTGTGCTTACTTACTAATCTATAGTGAAAATACATGAAATTTTCCCTGCCTCTGGGGCATCTTTGGTTCTGAAGACAAGCTTCTCTGTGTTTCCAATGGATGGTAGAAAAGTTGCCTGCTAGGCTTCTCACCTAGGGCAGCATCATACCACTTCAAGCCTCAACATTCGTTCATTTTTCATTCTACAAATCTTTACTGACTTTGGATGGAAACAGAGAGACCAATTAAGACATTATTGCAATAGCCTGGGAAAGAGATAACGCATTCTGAACCAGGGCAGTGGGGATGAATTTAAGACAGATTTAAGGGGCAAAGTCAGCAAAATCCAGTGACTGATTAGCTGTTAGGAGTGACAAAGAAGGAATCCTGGAAGACTATGATGCAGTGGTGGCTCAGTGGTAGAATTTGCACTTTCCTTGCGGGAGACACGGGTTGGATTCCCAGCCAGTGAACCTCATGCACATTGGAAACCCATTTGTCGGTGGAGGCTTGTGTGTTGCTATGATGCTGAACAGGTTTCAGCGGAGCTTCCAGACTAAGATGGACTAGGAAGAAATACTTTGTGATCTACTTCCAAAACTCAGCCAATAAAACCCTGTGGATCACAATGGTCCTATCCATGACTGATCATGGGGATGGTGCAGGACCTGGTGGCATTTTGTCCTGTTGCACGCATGGTCACCATGAGTTGGGGGCCAACTTGATGGCAGCTAACAACAAGAAGAACAAGAAGACCCCAGTGTAAGCATCTAACTGGACCTAGTGCCACCCACCAAGCCTAGGAATCTAGGAGCAAGAGCAATTTAGGGGATAAGGAAGACAGTTACCTGTCAAACACCCAAGTGTGGGTACCAAACTCTATCCTGAGTCTCGACACTCTTCAGGATCTGCCTCCACCCTGCTGATTCTTTCTCATAGTACATTTCTTCCTGAAGTTCTGCCTCCTCTTGATCAGGGTACCTCCCTGTGGTCCCCATGCCTGGCGTATTCTCACCCCTGAGCCTTTGTTCATGTTTTCCTCTTCCTGAGATGCTCTCTACCACTTCACCTTTCCAAACCCTCCTCTTCAGTCAGGATTCACTGCCCTTTCCTGTACACCGGGAGTGATTCCTGTGGTGCTTCCTTGGTGGTTTTGAGTTCTGGAGTTTTCTTCTGTGATGCTGTACTTGTGTGGCATCCTAGGCAGGGGTGTCTCCCTAGCAAGTCATTGTTGATGTCTCTTCATTGCCCACCTGCTTCCTATTCCCACAATGTAGACTCTATTAGAGGCGGTGATTGAGTCATTTTTAAGGGCAGGTAGAACAATAGCTGGCATAAAGCCTGCTGTCAGGAAGGACGTGAGCAGATGCAGCAGCACCTGAAATAGCCTCTTGGGGCCTAGTGAAGTGTTGGACGTCAGGCATATTGCTTCTTCAGATTTATACACTGAGACACTTTCATTCTACCTTGAAACAAGAGATTGAGGCCCTGACCTTGTGTCCCCTTTAGCTTGTGGGACCAGCCATAGTATAAGACGGTCTCCCACTGCCCTTGCTATCCGTAAAGCCAGGCTTCTTGGAGAAGTTGGGCAAACTACTTATCACTTCCTTTGAATTCAGAGATTCAGATGAAGGGCCCTGCCATTTTAAAAGCAGAAACCAGGGCTTTCCAGAGGTGAAGTGCCACAGAACTGCCTTGAGTATGAAATGCACAAGGCCTTCAGTGAGACCTCTTGGCCAAATTAAATTGGACATTAACAGCAGCCCAAGGAAAGGCTGGCTGCAATGACCCTGTGCCACTAGCTATTACAGTAAACAGAAAAGTTGTTTGTGATACACACGCCCTTCATAGTGCAGAGGCCAGGGGCTGTTCCTCTAGGAATCAACAGCGCTCCTGAGAGCTGGACAGTGCCTCCTGCATGTGACGCCCAGGTCAGATGTTTTGTATGTGGAGCCAAGAGCTCCAGGGACAGGTTCTGTTGAAGGAAAGGCCACAGAGCAGGAGCATGCCATTGGAACAAAGTGACTGAACTGTCAGAGAGGTTCAGATCACCAGACATTAAGTTTTTCTCAGGGCTCATACACAAGTGAGCCCAGGAGGTTCCTCAGAAAGGATTCAGGCAAGTGATTGCTCATTCATTCATTCATGCATGCATTCATCCATCCATCCATTCTTTCTTGTATTTATTAATTCAACAAATATTCGTTGCATGTCCTAATGCTATACTAACCTATGAGGTTATATAGAAGTTCAAAAGACCACTTAACAATTCAGTCTCCTGGCGAAGAAAGACATGTTTAAAAAGTTACAGTGCAATTTTTTGGGAGCTATCAAAGTTCATGGTTTTTTCTACTACACCTTGCAGTTTAACAGAACCTATTCTCTCTGAGAATCAGTGTCAGAGGTTGTCACACCCTTAGAATAGCCCAACTAGAGGAAGCCATTGTCAGTTTTTCCAAGACACCTCTAAAGAGTTGGAGCTTCCAT